GACTTGAGAATTCAGGGCGAGGGAGAGGAACGGAGGAAAGAAGGCTCTGGTCCCATGGGTCCTGGGACGCCTGGAAACTTCAGCCAAGGATCTAGTCCATCAGAGTAAGGCTCCAGTCCACGATAAAATTTTTCTTGGACCTCCAAACCTCCACGATAGAAACCCCGGCCATAGTCTGAAATGCGATCGGCCTCCATCCGAGCCATATGTCCCTCATATGTAAGACGCTCGTTCTCGAGCGAGCGGCGGGCCTCATCAAGGGAACTCCGAGCTGAACGCCTCTCCTCCATAAGGGTCAGGTTTAGCTCGTTGACCCGTTGAGAAAGTTGACGTTCCGTTTCTTCATGTTGGAGGCGCAACCTCTGCTCGACCTCTTCCGCCGCCTTCCTCGCTTCCTCCTCGGATCGACGACGCCACGTTCGCTCCAGCTCCTCCTCCGATCTCCTTCGGTGAAGTTCTGCCTCCTCTCGAACTTGCAATTCACGCTATCTGACCTGCCGCTCCAAGTCCCTCCTCAGGAATTCTATCTCCTTGAGGTCGTGAATCCGGTTTAGATCACGCTGCCCGACCTTGGCCGCAAGCCGCTCACGGTCCGAGTGGAGCTGATCGTTCTCGGACAAAACCCGATCATATTCCGGATGCTCAACGCAGATAGAGTGCTGAGATTTGAAATCCCTCAGCTCCTTTGATAAAGCAGCATTGCGGTCCAATAGGCGAAGGGAATGGCGCTGAGCAGAGGAAGTGGCAACATAATCGGCATGTCAAAAGAGGAAGGCAGCAAAAGTTAGTAGTCCTAGAGAGCATAAAGAAGTAAGCGAAATACTTAGAATGAAGGAGGGAAAGGAAACTGACCATACGAGTATACTCCTCCTGCATAAATGGCCAGGCCGGGCTGTGGACCACATCAGGATGGTCCCTCTTGAGCTGTTGTATTTCTTGAAGCTTGTTGTTGAAGTCCCGTCCTACCCAGGACGTGTATCCTGTGAACTGATAGGCCTCCCGGGCATAGGGAAAGGGTTGACTCCCTTGCCCAATGAGAAACTCATCATCGGCGGTCCCCATGGGAGGACCGGCAGACACCAGAGAACCGGGGAGAGGGGTGGAGTTCCGGCCCCTCTTGTGGCGGACCTGAGAAGAAGAAGAAGACCCGGTCTCCTGAATTGATGGACCGGGGATGGCAGTGGGACGGATGGAGGATGGGAAAGTGGCCTTCCCAAAACTGGAGGACCGAATTAACTCCTCTGTCTCCAAAAAAGACTGATGGATGTTTGCTCCGGGGAGAGGAACGTCGCCATGACCAAAGGGTGTCCCAAAAATATTCTCCGCCGCAGAATTTGCAAAATTGAGGATATTGGACGTTTGGGGCTGGGAAATTGCTTCGTCCCCCCCACAGCCAGAGGAGGGGGAATATTCCCAAGGAGATTCATACTGCACTGAATCCTAATCCCGGCCACCTGAACGTGAGGCGGCTCAAGGGACCCTTGCGAACCAGTGGCGCGCCCAGTCAGAAGGGTCCCACTGGTTTGGGGGTGGAAACCTAGTGGACCCATGGGTTGAGCCGAAAAAGAAGTTCCCCAACCAAAGAGAGGAGTGTGAGGAACGCCGGGGATAAAGCCGGATTCCCTCAGGGTCCCCGGAGGGAAGTCGTAAAGGCCATCATCTTCGGAGACGTCCTCAACAACCACCTCTTCCGAAAGGGGAGGTTGGTCAACAAGCGCCAAAGATAGGGCCCCAGTCGCGGACCCTGCTTCTTCGCCCTCGGTGTCCACCTCTGGGGAAGGATCCCTTCGAGATGACCGCCAGCAGAGTCGAGTGCTCCTGAAAGGAGGAACCCAAGAGGAAGTTGTGTTTCCCGACGGCTCTTGAAGAGGAGTATCGGGAGACACCCAGTACCCAAGACCCCGGAGGTTTGAATCCTTGAAGAGAAGCGCTCGGGGAACCGGATAGCCGTTCTTGAGAAGGAGACGGTAGATCCCATCAAGCTCCGAGTCACGCGGAGGAAAAGTATGAGAAGGAAATTTGTCTTCCTTCTTTCACCACACATTGGGGAAGGGGAGATTCTCCGGGACTACCACCACGAAGAAGCGACGGAACCAGTCATCAAGTTTGTCAACGGGGCTGTCCAAAAACTGCATATCGGTCCGGGCCGTGAAACTCAAGTACCCCCGGCCCAACTCACTGTCGTACTTATGTGGGCGGAAGAAAGAGAGGAAGAGCTTCAGAGTAGGTTGGATGCCTCTCTTGTGACACCGCGCCAAGAAGCCAAAAAGACTCTCGTGGGAGTTCGAGGAAATCTGACCGGGAGGTATGGCGTAGCGGTTGCAAAGTTCGATCAAGAGGGGATGAAGAGGGAAGCGGCATCCCATCCTAACCGAGTCGTAGTGGACGACCAGTCGGCGGGAGGTGTCAGGATTGCGCTCCAAAGTAGTACCCGTGGCTTCCTGGACGCCATAATCAGGAGGAATGACTCCCCTCATCTCCCCCATTTGCGCAGGAGTGATGGAGGAAACATTCTCGTCCTCCTTGGATTTCCTACTGCCGTTGAAGATCTTGGAAATGGTCTTCTTCATGGTGAGAGAAAGTAAAAGTCTTGGGAAGGAGAGGGGATGATTCGGCGGGGATAAAGGCAAGGGAAGTAGAGAGTTGTGTGTGAGCGTGAGAAAGGAGAGGGGAGAGGGATCGTATTATAGAGAAAGAGAAGAGGAAGAAGAAACGGTCCACCCTTGGAGATCCAGCAACGGTAAGAATTTTGAATGGCACCTGTTTCGGAACGGTCCAATGGCAGTAAAGGGACGCCTGAAAAGAGAATGGCAACCTTAAGATTCGGATCAAGAGCATTAACTCCAAACGGACCACTCTGCCGATTTCCCAGACCTGCGGTCCTCTGTTACTTTCCTTTTTCCTGCTACGGTCCCACAATAACAGAAGGGTGGGGACTTTGAATTGTGCGCAGTAAAACGGTCCTATGCAGCAATTAGGGAGTTGGAGGGACCGGTCAAAAATGGCTTGGAAAGGTGGGCCATGGATATTAAAGGGGCACGGACTCCCAGAGGTCCACTCGTGCCTTTTCCCATGCACACGGTCCTCGCCCAATTTATTCCTCTACAAACGGTCCACCATTATTGGTTTGCAGGGACTGTTCGCATGACCAAGCAGCCATTGGACAGAACCGTGTGTGGCCACAAACAGTTCACTCAACCAATTATACATCCTGGCCCGCATGGGCGTACTGTGGGGAATATCATCTAGAGTGAATACAAGTTAAACCTTGGGGTCTTCCCCAAAAGGAGAATCTTCGTCAGAAAATGAAAAGAAGACCGAGGAGGCATGCGAGGAAGACTACAGTCAAAAAATTTTTTTATTTTTTAACATGTAAAAAAAGGGGCATGTGATGGGAACCAAGCCCATCGAGAGAATACTAACGGATTGGGCCTAGGCCCAATTCGAATCCCGTCCATCGAAAGGAGCATCCGGCCCAGGTAAAATGTATCGGACCGGTCAAAGGAAGGTTGTCCGTAGAGAAAGATAGGAAAAAGGAAGAGAAGTGGGGCTTAAGGATGGGCTGAAGCCAGCCCATTAAGGATAAGCTACCCACGAAGAGAGGAATCCTATGAGGAGTTTGGGGAGTCCCCCCTTCCACTTGAAGGGACAAGGACAAGGAGAAAGAGACGGACGAAGGACAGGGAGCAAGAGATGGACAGAAGGGTTTGTCCTCCAGTGGACGGCCTCAAGTGGAGATACATTCCCCCAGAAGGAGTAAGGCTGGCATGAATATTCCCCCAATCACTGCCATTATTGAAGAGGATAATGGATGGGGAGTGCCTATAAAAGAAAGAGGGACTTGGGGAGTAGAGGACATCTTGTAATAGAGAGAGAAAATACTTGAGTAAATAATAAAAGATATTCCGGCGATCCTTAAGCATATTCCGTTCCTAAGAGGACCGAATAAAGGAGAGGATCGCCGGTTTCAGTTATTATCCAGTGAGCAGTGCTTCCATTACTATTAATTATTATTCTCGTATTATCTTTCAATACTATAAGGCCCGGATACATATATTTGGACCTGGGCCGATCTACAGTCCTTGGGAAAATATTGGGTATCCATCAATATATATATATATATATATATATATATATATATATATATATATATATATATATATATATATATATATATATATATATATATATATATATATATATATATATATATATATATATATATATATATATATATATATATATATATAATGGCGTGCGTTTTAGAGAGAAGGGAGAGCTTCTCTGATTTTCCGTTTCCTACTACCGTTGATTTACACCCTTCGACGCCGCTGAACCTTCCCGGAGATCCTGGCCCATCCAACAGGCGATCTCTTCCTTCCCGCCCTTACATCGATGTCCTTCGAGGATTTTCAACAACCCTAGAAGCAGATGGTAGAAGCGGTCACACAGCAATTCCCCTCCCGCCTCTTGCCCAATTGCAAGTCTCCGAAACCCTCAGGCGAGAACCCCCAAAGAGAATCCAAGCCAAAACTCAGGCACCGGCAAAATTCCGCATTGAAGGTAAGATTTTCACCTTCACTGAATCAATTTTCAATAAGAAAATCTGCGTTACTGAAAAATGTTGGAAAAAAAAGCTTCAACATATGGTTAGGGTTGGACACATGTTCTTGGCTCTTAGAGGCGCTTCAGTCTCTTACAATTGAAGGAGGTCTGCGTACATCCTACCCAAGAGAGAAGAGGAGACTGCTCACCATTTTTTTTCACTCCTACAGATTTGGTAACCATCTCAAAATCTGTGAGCATCACCAAGACGGCAAGACATGGATTCTCATCCCGAAAGGTAATCAAGATTCTGGGATTACTTCTTTCATCTCCTGCTTTAAGAAAATTTATGTCAACTTGAGGTCCTCTATTCCCCATCCCCCTCCTTTTGTTGACAATGCCTTAGTTTGTGCTTGGACTCAACCTTCTCCTCAACAATCTTCAAACTCCATCTCTGCCACTTTACTTAAATTGGAATTTTCAGAGAGTCTGCACCACCCCCCTCATGGCCCTCCAATTACCCCTGCAACCACAAAGCAGTCAACACTACAAGGCACCCTTTCTGCTTCAGCCCCAGCTTTCACCCCTCAAAGACTTGTCACTACACCAGGCCAAACTCTTGATATGGCCTGTACAAAACCTCTTCATTTCCAGGGATGTTCTAATTCAGACAATGATTTGGACAGCCCTCATTGGGGCAAAAACCTAGGTTACATCTCCGGGCCTGAAATTAATCCTTTGGACAACAGAAAAAACTTCCCTCAAATGTCTCTGAAGATGAATGGGTAACGGACAGAGGCTCAGATGATGAGGAAGACTGGCACGCCCATAAAGAGGTCAACAAGAAAAAAAACCTTAAGAAATTTGACCAATTATGTTTGCAATTCAAGGATAGTCCCCATCCAAGAAGAAGTAAGAGGTTAACAGAACTTAAAGCCAAGTGTGTGTGGGAACAAATTTGATTGGTGAGAATGCTGTCAAGATTTTCTCCTCATGATGTTCACCGTCTTCCTTAATCCAGTGCTGCAGGTCGTTATCAGGTTATAAATTATCATAATCTAATTCTGGTCTGAGAATGGCAGTGTGTTTACACTAACTTTGGATGACATTTTAAATGTATAAACCTTATGACTTTACCTTTGGCAAGCTTTCAATGTTTTTGCTTAGAATTGAAAGTGAACAATTTGGCTCTAGATGGTTTTGGCGCTGTTACTTGTGAAAATACAACTATGTGAAGGGAACCGTTTCTGGTGTTTGCTTCATCTATCAACTTACGGATGAGCAGAATTTCTGTCATCTTTTCTGGAGCTGATTCATGCGTTTAGCTAGAATTGCTGGACAGAACTTAGTGACTCCCAACCTGGTCATTTGGGCAGACTGCATTCTGCTCTCATGTGATTTTTATTGTTTGGCTTGATGCTGCTTGTTTTATATTAGTTTGGATAGTTTCTCTCTTGGGTGTAGTATTTACTCTTTTTTGGGACAGCTTGTAGGGATCCGTCCCATCCCCCTTTGTACTTTTTCCTTATCTAATAAATATCCTTCCCCTAAATATATATATATATATATATATATATATATATATATATACTCCGTATATATACACACACACACACACACATATATATATATATATATCTATATCTGTGTGTGTGTCTATATATTAACTATATTTGACATACTTAATTATCACATAATTATGTCCAAATATAAATTTTTAGATATATATATGTTTGTGCATCTAATCATATTGTCACACACAATGTAATATACACAACATATATAAAATGCAACTTTACTCCACTTAAATATTCTACACTTTTTATATGTTCTATGAGTGTGACCCTATAGATTACATGGCCAACTAGATGTGATTATTTTTTTTGTTGTATGTTTTCTAAATCGTTGTTTTTTCTCCTAAGACCCTAGATAGTTCTGTGGAATTGTACTTGATTGTTTTTGTTTTATAATTTTTTGTTTTTAAAAAGTGTTCAATTATGTTTATCTCTTTAAAACAGTTTTTCTAGTGGGGACATTAGGACTTTCGTATGCTCCGTGTAGTGTTTGAAATTCATAATTTTTTAAAAAGTCGAATGTAGTCTATGGGAATTTCCCATTGAGGAAAATAGAGTAGTTCTATAATTGGTTTTTTGAAACTATGTGCATTCCATATTTAGTCATTTCTTATCAAATATTACGTTAATGGTCCTTTATATGTGAGTTACTTTCCACGAGTAGTCCTTCATGTGACTTTCTACCGTGTTGGTGTTTCCCATCGACACTATATCATTTCTGCCATAGCCAATCCTAGAGGTCATTGTTGATGTGTTGTTTGTCTGCAGGAGTCGCTGCTCACCACAACTATATACTTCCCATGTCCCATTAAGATGTTCTCATTTTAACTTTTAGGAAATTTAAAGCTAAGGAGGGATATTTTTGTGTTGTCTTACAAAAAATACCTTTGATGTGAGTAAAACTAGGATGTGATGAGTACCGTATATCATTAGTAAAAAAGTATATATATGATGTGATATGTAGGGTAAAAGTGATTTTTAATAAAAAGTTGAAGGCTTTGTAGGACACAAAAATAAAGAAAGAATGTCTTTTATTTTTGGAGGAAGGGAGTAGCACGTCTACAACTTTTGTGACTTGTCTCAATAATCCAAGTCCGCAACCATGATCAATTTTGTTGTGTTATCCGTCAAGCCGACATCAGAATATATGACTGGACATAGGGTTGATGTGAAATTATATATTTAGCCTCATTTTAACGCCAACACGATTGAATGAAGTTAAAGAAAACTAGGTGTTTATGGAAGGTACCTATAAACAAAGGACTATGAATCATAATAGAAGACTAAAAATAGAAAATAGACAATTATATATAAACCATTCGGATGGAATAAGTAAGACTCCTTCAACTCAAACAAACAACACTCAAACTCAGAGAAACATTATGTGTATTATTGCATAGTATATATTATATTTATAATGGAAATAGGGCGAGAAACAAAAACATGTAGCACATAGTAGTACGCAATATAGTTTCCTTGCTCTTAGCTTTTAGATGATGGGTTGGGGATCAATTAAGCAGCAGTTGTAATAATGTCGTCATCATTATTGCCGCCTTGGGTGTATTTATCACCCACATTGTGAATATGATTCCCCTCTTCATTTTCCCCTCTACCTTTGGCAGTACTTTCAAGCTGCATTATCTCCACTTCTTCGTTCATGTCGTCAACCATTACGGCCCGTAAGAGAGACTCCCCATTAGGGATACTAAGTATTAACATCAGAACCGTTATCTAAGAGAGATAGATTACATGGCCAACTAGATGTGATTATTTTTTTCTGTTGTATCTTTTCTAAATCGTTGTTTTTTCTCATAAGACCCTAGATAGTTCTGTTGAATTCTACTTGATTGTTTTTGTTTTATAATTTTTTGTTTTTAAAAAGTGATTAATTATCTTTATCTCTTTAAAATAGTTTTTTAGTGAGGACAACAGGACTTTCGTATGCTCCGTGTAGTGTTTGAAATTCATAATTTTTAAAAAAGTTGAATGTAGTCTATGAGAATTTCCCATTTAGGAAAATAGAGTAGTTCCATAATTGGTTCATTAAAACTACGCACATTCACTACTACAAAAACGACCAAATAATCACCACATTTGCATCGGTCAGCAAAACAAACGATTTAAATGGAAAAAATTTCGCGTATCGGTAATTATTTGAATCGGTTATTACGTTTAACCGATGCAAAAAAACCTTGTTTAAACGCTGGTCCATAGCCTCCAATTCATTATCCTTACCCGATTCTGAAAAAAAAAACCCTCCTTCGTCGTCGTCGCGCTGTGCTCCGTCACCGTCTCATTCGCCGATGTCGTCACAGCAACGCCGTCCTCCACTTCGCTGTCGCTACTGTTCCCACTCCTCGTCGTCCTCCACTTCGCCGTCGCCCTGTCCTCGCCGTTGCCAACTGCCACCGTCGCCCTCTCTCGCCGTCGCCCTGTCCTCGCCGTCGCCCTCGCCATTACCAACTGCAGCCGGCCCGGTTGCCCCGTCGTTCCCTCGCCTCTTTTACCCTACGCCGTGCCTTCCTCGCCTTCTTTAAGGTATTTTCTTTAATTTTTTAAACTTTAAATATTTAATTATACTATTATTTTTTATATATTTTTGCATTAGGTTAATATTTAATTTACTATATATTTGAATTGCTTTTGTGTTTAAAATGTTTAAGTTGAAATGTGACATTGTGATATAGATTGCGTTTGAAATATAGATTGTTTAATTACTTTTTGTTTGATTTTACATGATCTGAGATGTTATAATATAGAAATAACATATATTGATCGACCTAAATACCCGTTTAAAATTTATTCATTAGGAGTAAATTTTTAATACCTCCCAGTTTGGAGCTATTCTTAAAATGCTTCTCTCACTTAGGTAGTGAGTGTATTTCTTTATCTTTGTTCTGTCATTTTTTGGTTTGACGTTTCCTAAATGTGTTCTTCGGGTGGATATGTGATTACGTTACATCGTGCACTTGGAGAACCATTGGGAAATGCTGCCAAAATTTTGATAGGTCAAATAAAATGAAATACATTTACCAGTGAGGGTGGCATTTAAGAATGGGTTAGGATGGTGTAAAGAAGGACCATTTGTATAATGAAGAAGTGCTTCCGGATAATGAAGAAGTGCTGCCGGACCATCATAAGAAATGAAATATTGTGTTGCCTGCATTTCTTATATGTTTGTGTGTATATATAAAATGAGTGTTAATAATTTTGTTGTGCATTGTTTTGCATGTATCAATCATTTGCCCTTCTTTCTTGCTTAGCAATTCATATGATAGATAGAAGTTGGATTCATATGTCGCATACATCACTTGAGTTTAGTTCTGGTTTGGAAGAGTTTATTCATTTCGCAGAGAAACATTCAAAAGAAGGAAAAAACCTATATTGTCCTTGATTGTAACTCATGTCACAATCATTTTATGGTTGATAGCGTTAAAGATATAAGATTACATGTGTATCGCAAGGGTTTGTTAGAATAAGTGCCCTTCACTAGAGGGGGGGGTGAATAGTGAGGCACGAGAATGTTTATAAATTTTTGTGGAATAAAAATCGCAGGGATAAAGTAAAGAGCGGAATAAAAAAGCATAAGGAAAGAACACACCAAATTTACCCTGGTTCACCACAATGTGTGGCTAGTCCAGCCTCCCGAGAGACTCTCTCGAGCTACACTACTTCCGTTAAGCTTACGGGTGCTTAACAAACCGTTACAACCTGAGAACTCGAGTCCCACGAGCCTCAACAACACTTGGTTGGAGATACCGCACTCCAAGACTTCAACCCGAAGGAAAATACCTTTTCTTCGTACAACCAAGGGAACAAACCTCCCTTAAAGTGTTCACAACACTTAACCACTCAAGAAAAAATACTCTCTTAAAGAGTAGAATATGAGTAAACTAATTTAGATCAAGAACACACTCAATTCCTCAAGAAATGGCTCTAAAAAGCTATGTAAAAAGTTTATGGAATGATTCAATGTAAAACTATGAAATGTGTGAGGAATGGTTTTTAAAAGTAGACCCAAAAGACCCTTATTTATACCCAAAAATGATGTGTAACGGATGGGAGTTGATTTGGGTTTAATGGCATGATTTTTGGAAATTAAATAAAAGTGGATCTGCAGGAAATTAGCCAACCCAGCGATGTATGGAACTATCCATCGCTGGTAAGCCATTTTTCCTTCAGTTTTAAAGACAACGGTCACCTACCCATGGATGGGTAAGAGCTTCCTATCGCTGGGTGGGAGGTTGACTTTCAAACAAGGAAATAATCAGCCTTAAATGCCTTACAACGGTCATGCCTTCCCATGGATGGGTAATATCCTCCCATGGCTGGGAAGTCACTTACCCATGGATGGGTAATATCTCCAATCGCTGGGTGGCATGGTTCTGGAATCCCGGATCACTCACCCATGGATGGGTAATATCTCCCATCGCTGGGTGGCATGATTCTAGAATCCCGGGATCACTTACCCATGGATGGGTGATATCAACCATCGATGGGTAGATGGCTAGTCCAAAACCATGGCCTAGCCGACCGGCGCTGAAACCCGACTGAAAAATGCAAAGTTCTCTAAAGTAAAAACTAAGTGTTTAAAACACTTATTTAATGTATTTTATGTAGAAACCAAGTATAAAAACTTAAAAACCACTTCATTAAGGTAAAAACCACGGCTAGCCAAGTTTATGCCGTTTCGCATGGTTTTTGCCAAACGACCAAAAACGTGAGGTGGTTTTTGAAGTGTTTTTATTGGGGGAACCATTTGGATATGTCCAGAAGTAAAAACAAATCATAAAATGTTGAAAACCAATTGGTTGGTTCGGACGCCAAAAACCAGTGCCGATAACCGAAAGCCGATTGCCGGTTTCTGAAAGCCGAACGCTGGATGGCTTGGTTTTTGGTTTGGGTGAACACCAAGTGTTTTTGATGATTTAACCATGTTTGAAAAACATTTTTATGATGTGATGAATGCAATAAAAGATTTTAGCCTAAAGAGCCATGCGTGAAGGTTGGGTCGGTCTTGATCACAATTATGACCGACTCAACGATACTAAAGACTACGGTCTTCGTTCTTGGTCTCTTTTAGCTCTTGTTCTTTATCTTCGTTCTTCACCTTGTATATTCAATGTTTGTCTTGATCACGGCGGTTTGGGATTATCAAAACCTGTCATAAAAACAAACACGGCTTTAGTACGAAAACGTGACAAGCCCGTGTTTCAACAATTTCCCCCTTTTTGATAATGGCAAAAGAGACGAGGTTATGCATGGGAGGATAATTTTGAGACTTAAAAAAAATGTTCCCCCTTAAAATGTTGAAGATCTACCCATCGCTGGGAAGATCTACCCATCGATGGGAAGATCTACCCATCGCTGGGAAGGCTGGTGCATTTCAAAAATTCAGAGCCGTTGGGCACCACATTAATTGCCCAACAGCTATATTTTTGTATCCAAACGGCCTAATCTCCCATTCCTTATATATATCCCTCGTATTTGTTCATTCTAATACATCATTAACATCATAATTTCATTCCTTGATCCAAATCTCAATATTTCATCTCCTTTTTCTTCAAAAACGCCACAACTATAGCCGGAGGAAGATCAAAGTCAAAGGCATCCAAGAAGAAAGGCCCTACCGAGGCCACAACCTCTGCGCCTCAACCCTTTCCGTACCTGGACGGATCCTTCCTCGAATTTGGCTCGGAGGAAGAACTTACTCGCTTCATCACCCACTTCGCCAAACGCCCTATCTCTCCGCCACGGGTGCTGCCCGAGTTGTTCCCTCAGCAAAAAGGGTACCACGACCTCGATAATCAACTCAAAGAGTCAGGTTTGTGGCCCTTCGTCTCCAAGAGCCGCACAAGCTTCAATCCCGCTTTCGTCCGGGCGTTCTACTCAAATCTCCACCGCAACGGGGACATCATCCGGAGCAGCATCAATCTCTACGACATAGAGATTGATTTGCCGACCTTTGCACGAATCGCAGGGCTTCCCATCCGAGGCGACGACATCGCAACATATGGCGGCGATGATTGGATCCTCAACAACGAGGCGGTGGTCATCCGAGAGCTTGGGATCACCAACCTCATCCGTCACAGCGGCGCGCCAACAATCCACTCAGCCCCGCTGGAGAAGCGTCTTCTTCTCTACATCCTTACCCGGATTCTTCGCCCCTAGGACAGTAGCCACACTTCTCTCTTCAACAAAGATCTCAAGGCGGTTCATGCTATCACCCATGGCGCCTCGATCAATTGGGCAAAATACGTCATGATTCACATGGCAGATTGCGCCTCCATCGCTACCGAGCGGAGCCTGCCATACGCCTTCCTCATCATGGATCTCATTGTTGCCTCCGACATTCACATCGCTGGCCCGGATACGAAGATGACGAAGATTTGGATCATCCAAGATAGCACCTTCTGGAAGAAGTCCGGTGACAGAGCTGGCGCAGGACCAAGTCGGGCACCAGCCCCCGCTCCCTCCAAGGCCTCCTTACAGTCCATAGCCGATACCCTGAATCGGCTAACCATCACCGTGGACGGCATGGGTCAATACTTGGAGTAGATGGATGGCACGCTGCAACGCTAACATCACAACATGACGTCGTTCTTCCGAGGCATCAACTACGTCCCGCCGCCTTTCGACAGCACCATTCTCGGAAAAAACTACGAGGACGAGGATGAGGACGACGACTCCTACGCTCCATCCTCCTCTCCCGACGAGGCCGAATTTGAAGACGCGGTGGACGGCGATCCCATGGACGTCGAGGATGACGAGGATGACGATGACGACGAGGACGAGGACGCCGATGCCTAGACTCTTCCTTTCTCTTCTTTCCTTACTATGATTGTTTTTTGAATGCAATGATAATATGAATAATGTGAAGTGAATTGGTGTGTAAAGCAGACCCAAACACCCCTTTTTATAGTGCCAAAGTAGGCTCCAACGGATCAAAACATTTAAGGAGTGATTAGCTTGATTTATGGGATTGATTAAAATGTGGATCTGCATGATATAGGCTTCCCAGCGATGTATGGACTTACCCATCGCTGGTAAGCCAATTTTCCTTCAGTTTTGAAGCCAACGGTCACCTACCCATCGATGGGTACATGCTTCCCATCGCTGGGTGGGAGGTTGACTTTCAAACAAGGAAAGAATTGAATCAGTCTCAAATGACTCACGACGGTCATGCCTAACCAGCGATGGGTATGCCCTCCCATCGCTGGTAAAGGGCATTATGCCTTGTGATAATGTTGGACCAAGGCTTGAACAGCGATGAGTAGAACTTCCCATCGCCCATAGATAATAAGCGGTATCTGGCAACACATTATTACCCCCAGATTATGAAAAAGACGTTCATCTCATCAATACCTTCTACGACACAAGACGTTCTATAACTATTATCCTTCTGTCCTAAATGTCATGATTTAACACAAGGCATGGNATCGTCTATGGACTGAAGCTATGTTATGTTACACGAGATATAAAACATACTTCAAAGCCTTTCATTCATGATAAAGTGTACAGTTACATAGGTATTTGATTGCCGCTAGGGCACCTAAATACAACACTTGCATTTCTTCAAAAGAATAAGAATCGGTAAAAGAAATACATACCTCTTGGTTTTCGTCGTTGGCGGACTCCTCTGATCTTCTTCTTGAGCTATGAGACAAAGGTTTGCTTCTTTGTCTTCCTCTTGCTCGCTTGACTCATCGCCGGAGTCGCCACCCCACGAGATGTATGCTCTTTGCTTTTTGAAGTGACGAGCATTCCTTCCGCTTTTTGGGCATTTGTTCTTGATGTTCCCGACTTCACCACATCCATAGCACACAGGGCCATCCTCAACCTTTTCTTTCTTCCTTAGAAGTTTTCAAAACTTCTTCATGACAAGCTTGACTTCATCATCGTCGCTTGAGTCATTCATCGTTGGTTCTTTGAAGGCTTTTAATGCTATGCCTTTCCTTTGATCGTTCAAAGACGGGTTAAGTATAGTAGATTCATAAGTTTTTAAATTACCTCTTAAACCGTCGATGGTGACATTTGATGTGCCGATTGACTCATAGATGGCATCGGCCTTGGATCGCCATTCGGATGTCAAGCTCTGTAGGATCTTTCGCACAAGATCCCTGTCGGTGTAAGTCTTCTTTAATGCATGAAGATCGTTGACTATCTTGGAAAATCGGTCGAACATGTCGTTGATCTTCTCGTGCTCCTTCGTCCTAAACATCGATCGAACAAGAATATGTTGAATCCTCGGCTAGCTTTTACAGTATATAATTATAATACTATAATTTTGTCATTTTTTCCTATTAATATTGATATGCGTTAATTATCATTTATATATAATTAGTTTACGTATGTTAATTTGTTAGATCATTATAAATAAGATTTTTAGGGCCTTTTTTCTGTTTCGGCCCAGGCATATGAATTCTCAGGACCGGCCCTGATCAAAGCCTGTCATAAAAACGAACACGGCTTTAGTATGAAAACGTGATAAACCCGTGTTTCAACAGTAATAACCGATGCAAAAGCCTCTTCCCAGAAATGGGAAAGGGGCTTTTGCATCGGTTATTACCAAATAATCGATGCAAAATCTTCTACCTAGAATTGGCGCCAAATCTGGGTAGAAGCTTTTGCATTGGTTATTTGGTAATAACCGATGCAATTACATAAGCTTTTGCATCGGTTATTACCAAATAACCGATGCAAAAGCCTCTACCCAGAATTGGCGCTATTTCTTGGTAGAAGCTTGTGCATCGGTTTTGACAACCGATGTAAAAAGTTACCTGAGCATTTGCATCACTGGCTTTTGCATCGGTTAAAAACGATTTAAAAGGGTCAAAATAACTGATTTAAAAAGTCTTTTTTGTAGTAGTGATTCCATATTTAGTCATTTATTATCAAATGTTACGTCAATGGTCCTTTATATGTGAGTTACTTTTCACGAGTAGTCCTTCATGTGACTTTCTACCGTGTTGGTGTTTCCCATCGACACTATATCATTTCTGCCATAGCCAATCCTAGAGGTCATTGTCGATGTGTTGTTTGTTTGCAGGAGTCGCTGCGCACTACAATTATATTATTCCCCTATCCCATTAAGATGTTCTCATTTTGACTTTTAGGAAATTTAAAACTAAGGAGGGATTTTTTTGTGTTGTCTTTCCAAAAATACCCTTGATGTGATGAGTAAAACTAGGATGTGATGGGTACGGTATATTATTAGTAAAAAAGTATATATATGATGTGATATGTAGGGTTAATGTTAATAGGGGTAAAAGTTATTTTTAATAGAAAGTTGAAGTGTTTTGTGGTACAACGTCTACAAATTTTGTGACTTATCTCAATCCAAAAGTCCGCAATTATTATCAATTTTGTTGTGTTATCCGTTAAACTGACATCACAATATATGACCGGACATAAGGTTGATGTGAAATTATATATTTATCCCCCATTTTAACGGCAACACGATGGAATGAAGTTAAAGAAAACTATTTGTGGAAGGTACCTATAAACAAAGGAATAGGAATCATAATAGAAGACTAAAAATAGAAAACACACAATTATATATAAACCATTGGGATGGAATAAGTAAGACTCCTTCAACTCAAACAAACAACACTCAAACTCAGAGAAACATTATGTGTATTATTGCATAGTATATATTATATTTAAAATGGAAATAGCTAGGGCGGGAAACAAAACATGTAGCACATAGTACTACGCAATATATAGTTTCCTCCCTCTTAGGTTTTAGATGATGGATTGGGGATCAATTAAGCAGCAGTGGTAATAATATCGTCATCAGTATTGCCGCCTTGGGTAAGATTATCACCCACATTGTGAATATGATTCCCCTCTTCGTTTTCCCCTCCACCTTTGGCAGTACTTTCAAGCTGCATTATCTCCACTGCTTCGTTCATGTCGTCAACCATTACGGTGATATCATCTCCATTATTGCTGTCTATTGTGGGCTGCGGTGGGTGCTGCTGCTGCAATATCACTGCATCTCCCATCGTCCTACTTGGTGTTTTTTTATAAATGGCGTACAAGATCATTTGAGCCATTCCCAGAATAACCCCCAACACGTTTGGCATCTATCGTATCGTATCATATCATATTTATTTACCCGTGTAGCATAAATAATGTATAAAATTAATACTTGCTTCGTTCTAGTGTATTTGTCCAGTTTGACTTTTCAAGTCAAACAGAATAATCTTTGAGCTTCAATTTAAAAAAATAGTAATGTGTATTTGTATAAAAATATTTTTATTAGATTTATCCAGTTGGAAACTTTAAAATGTTATTTCATTGTACTAATATACAAATTGAGAGTAATTGAAGCTTAAAGTTTGTCGAGTCTGACTTAAAAAATTCAAACTGAAGAAATACATTAAGACGGATGTTGTATGTTCTAAGAAAAAAATGACCTTGAAATAAAAGAAAATATGTGGGTACTATATATACGCACCGCAACGTAGTAATCATGGATAAGAAGGCCATATTGAAACCATACAATGGCACAAAGAGTGAGGGCCAAGGACAAAGTGAATGGCATGTATTTTACACTCTTTGTCCTTATAACTTTTCTCTGCACCATATACGGAGATGCATCAAATAATATATACTCCGTACATCATTAAACACACATGATACGTATGCATGCATGCATGCATTTTAGTACGTACGTGCACTACTTTATAAAAAGCTAGCATAAATATATTGTTGGAATGGTCATTATTTAATTTAATTTATTTGTTAGTTATAGTATATAGTACTCCCTCCGTCCCCAAAAGAAGTTCCCCTTTTGTTTTTTCTTTGTCCCCGAAAGAACTTTCCTTATCTATTAAAAAACCACCTTTACCCCTTACTTTTTCATACCCTACGAACCTATCACATCATACTTTTTTACTAATAATCTACATATCACATCGTTTTACTTTTATCCATCACATCAAGAGTATTTTTGGAAAGTCAATACAAAAATATATTCCTCCCTTAAATCCTGATAAAGTCAAAAAGAGAACTTCTTTTGGGGACGGAGGTAGTATTAATTACCATAGAGAAATTTACCTAAATAGGACTAAAACATAATGACTTTTCTAATATAGGACCATATGTTTTTATTTTCCAATGTAGGACCTTTGGTCATTATGAAGTAGTCATTATTCAAGTAAATGTCCATCATTACTGGACATTATTCCTCCCACTAGGTCATTATTAAGTCCTATTTAGGGAATAAAAAAGTTTAAGTCTTACATTAGAAAAGTCATTATGTTTTAGTCCTATTTAGTGCAAATTTCACATTACCATAATGCTAAGAGGAGCTGCAAAGACGCAGACAGAGAAGATTGCACATATCCATCCAACTATTGTGATTCGCCAGTGCCCATCCAAAAGCATGTAAGTCAGTCCCACGGCAACCCCCATTGCTCCAAAGTTAAACAAAACTAACACTTTGAATGTGAAAATCTGCAAATCAATCTCATCAATTTATATACTTAATTAATTTTTGTTCCATCACTTTAAAAAAAATAACAAAGTACATTTATTTAGGATGCCTTTGGAACAAGCTAAGCAAGCTAGCTCTAAAATTATTGTTACCGAAGGAACATGACCGGGGACTAAAAAATTGATAAGTACAGATTCAAAATTGTTAGGGATGCATGCCTTCGGAACTAGCTTCAAAATTGTTACGCATGCGTTTGTATATAAGTCAATTAGTTTTTTCACATTAAAAAATATACTCCATCCACCTTTGAAAACAGTTCAATTTTCTGTTCAAAAGACTTTGACTTTTGTAAAAAATGACTAGTATATCCAAATAAAGTCATTTTAATATACTCTATCTATTATGCATTGATTTAATAAGTTATTTCATTGATTTTTCTCTCTTTATTCGACATTAAAGATATATACAATTGAAAGGACAAATTGCGAAAATAAATTTGATAAAAGTCAAAATAGAAATTGAATTTGCAAACCGAGGGATCAGTATAACATCGTGTTTATTAAAAAATGTTTTTCCATTAAAAATATGTTTTCCCAACTCAAAATTTAAAAAATGTTTTATCAAATTCACAAATTATTCTTCTGTGTTCTTCAAAACCTCTCTCCTTTCTTTTTTCGATCGTCCCCAATTTTTTTTCTCATTTCTATTAAAAGATAACCTTTACCACTACTAATTATTAACTTACCTATCACATCATATATCTATTTCTAATTAATCTATCCATCAATTTCTACTTTTACCCATCACATATAAGGACATTTAAAGAAAATGAACACAAAAATTCACTCTACTTAATCTCTTAAAAATCAAAATTTCTCATGTTTTCAGAGACGGAGGGAGTAATACGTAAACTTTTCATAAACTGCACTCCATCCAGCTTTCAAATAGAAGCTACGTTTTAAGATATTTTTCTTTTTAAATTTGTCCAAAGAAATTAAAAAAGAAACTGGCATGTCTTTTTTGTTTTCCTGCATGCGTAAGAAATCAAATAATTTTCATTAAAATAATATAAAAAGAAAAAAGAAGAATGAGAGAAACGAGGGATCACGGCAGAAATAATTAAGTGACGGTGGAGCCACGTAACGAAGGTAACAAACCCGGGCGTCTTTGGGGGCATAAAGCATGAAGGCCGCGAGATATATCGTCTCGATTGCCATTCCGAAGCTGTTAATGGTAATGAGTAGCACCATGTTTTTCTTGATGTTTGCGTAATACAAATACAGCATCGAACTGAACAGTGCAACCGAATACGGTATCGACTGGAAATCTTCGGTTGATTTGTTCTTGTATATCTTCACGAATGTCGCGCTGCGTCCGTCCATGAGACAATAATTATATATACACATCTTCTTAGGTTTTTTCATAGCAAATTAAATGATGTATTTTATGCAATAAATCAAGTGAAATTTGCACTGAATAGAACTAAAACATAAGTAGAAATCATCCTAAATATAACTAAAATATAGAGAAAAATACCAAAATAGGACTTTCATGTTTTTTTCCCCCAAAAATAGGACTTTGCACTGTGATAATGTGACTTTGTCCTGTTGTAATGTGGAAGTGTACATGTGCAAATTATTATTCTCTTTGGTAATTTATATGACCATGTATGATAATGTAAGTTCTATTTCAGAAATAAAAATATGGAAGTCCTATTTTGGTATATTTTCAATGTTTTAGTCCTACTTTGGTCTTTCTCTCAAACATAAGTCATTTACTAATGTAAAACTTAAACTTTTTTATTACCTAAATAGGACTTAATAATGACTAGTGAGAAGATTAATGTCTAACTGATGCTGAACATT